AGGACCACAGATGAAGGGGTGCAGGGTTTGAGGATCCCCCCAACTCGCAGGCAGGGCCTCATCATGCACTGACATGCGACTGCTGCTGCCAACGCCCGCGGGACGTGCCTGGCTTGGGCTTGAGCCGGGATGAGCTTGAGCTGGGAGCTGGGTAGGCTGGGCTGGAGCGAGCAGCCACAGGGTCCCGCCCCGGTCTGGCGCCTCCCACCATCCGCCCTCAAGCCAGCCAGGACGGGCTCTTGTCCCCTGGCTGGGCCACCAAGGTGACCCAAATCGGTGCTCAACAGCCATAGCAGGGCAATGCAGCAGGGACAGACGCCAGGCCAGCACCCTCCCGGGTGGGAGATGCTCGATGGGTGGCAGCGAGGGGGAGACACGCATGGTGTCACATCCTCAGAGCTGCTGTGCCACCCAGAGGGTCACCCATGGGGTGCCAGCACCCCATTCCCCAAGCAAGGGGCAGAGGTGGGCTCAGCGAGCTGTGGGTGATCCAGTGGGGGGCTGCCTGTGTCACTGCCCACCTTGGCACAGCGGGGCACGGGGGGGACGAGACGCAGAGCCGGGGTGCGCGGGCTGCCTGCGTTCACACAGCCACGCCTGGCCAGGACTGCATTATGAAAGAGCATGCGGGGACCTGCCTCAAACCTCTGGCACAACATCACAGGGGATTATAATAATCATCATCATCGTCATCATCATCCGAAACCCAATTAAAGCCGGCAAGCCAACAGAGCAGCAGCGATAGAGTGGCACAGAGGAATGATGAATAACAAAACTCTGAGGTTTCAAAATCTGTTTTTGTCCCGTGTGAGAAGACAATGTCACATCCCTGTGGCTCGCAGGCGGGGAGCAGGCTGCGGGCAGGGCTGTCCCCCCAGTTTGGTTGTGGCTGCCCCGCTTTGGGGAGCAGAGAGCTGCATGGATACAGCTGTGCCCCGTGCAGAGATGTCCCCAGCCCACTCCCTTCCCCAGCGGTGACACGGTGGCCCTGCGACAGGCAGATACAGGCATGAGGAGGCTCGCACGCTCTGCCCAACTCCTGTACCCACGATCGGATGGGTTGGGTGTGGAGACGCCATGCAGAGCCCTCCAGCACCCTTGGCAGTGGGAGCTCAGCACCATATGGGCTTTGCGGCTCCCTCGCCTTGGAGATGGATCCCCGGCTCGCTGGGTCCTGCGTGGGCAGCAGCCACGGGGCAGCGGGGTCTTCAGCCACTGCAGGGAAAACAGCTCTGCCTTCAGAGGGGGGCCGAAGGTGGGGTGCTGAGGGCAGTGCAGGTCCCCCAAGGGCATCTCCTTGCCGTGGGGCACAGGGGAAGGCTCAGTGCTGGCGGTGGGACAGCAGCTCCCAGCTCCTCCGGTGGCATCCAGACCCTCCCCTGGCCAGAGTCCTGCAGTGGGATGGACCCTCTCCCACCCTGAGCCCAGGACAGGGATGGGGGGAAAGTGTGTGAGCCCCTGCCGCTGGGGATGGGGGGAGACAGCCCCTGCCACTGGGGATGTCCCCACCTGCAGCAGACGCTGCATGGGCTGTGCTGGGTTGATGCTGTGGCAGGGGGGGCGCAGCTTGCTCTGCTCTCTGCCATCTGCCGCCACGGCTCTCCCAGAGCTGTTTCCTGCCTGGGATCATCTGGCTATGTCAGTGCTGGTACACGAACGGGATGGGGAGGGTTCCCACAAGCGGGAACTCACTCACCCAGTTTTTACTTCAATTCCTGGCCTGAGTTGGGCTCCAGCTGGCTAGCAGGCTCCCGGCTGTCCTGGGGGCTGGCCTGGGCCAGGGGCTCCTCCGGCTCTGCTGGCTGCCAGCCCAGTGTCCTGGGGGCTGGGAGGGCTGAGCAGGGTGGGCACAGGCTGATTGTATGAGTCCTGCTCAAGCAGGGATTGCTCCTGGGGCAGTGGCTGTGTGTGTCCAGGAGCTCCGTGCTCCTGGACCGATCGCGTGGCATGGGGACAGGTCCTTCTGGGCCCAGAACCAGCCTCCTTGAGCCCCTTAGCAAACTCTGGGACTTGATGAGCGCTGGATGGGGACTGCAGTTTACTCTCCTCCTGCCTTTCCCCTGTTTGCCCAGTGTGCCCTCCCCACACCAGGCTGGAGCATCCCTTCAGCCCACACATCATCAGGGAGCTTCTGCTCAAGCGG